TGAAGTCACGACGCACGTGACGCAACGCGTCGGAACGCTTTTCCCAGCCCAGAGACACATCATTTCCGGTCACGTGGGGACGGATGTCCGAGCACAGCGACCATATTGGTTTCCCTATGTACATGTGAATGCACCCAGGGAATGAGGAGGACTGCATTTTACTAACAAAACGCATGTGAGTGGAAACTTTTTGCTATATGGAGTGTCTGAAATAAATGGTATTACACTATGGGAAGCTCTGTTTGTGTCCTATATGACGTTTGAGAGGAGGTGGAGAGGAGGTCCTGTGATTCCTTACTGAGCTGCTTGGAAGCAAAGGATTACCTGGAGGAGAGATATAGCCTTGTGGCCCTTTGCGGGTCGAGTTGGGGAGGTGAGCAGGCATTGCTGCCATTGGAGGATTTCTTCCCTGTCTTTTTTATGAGCACTAGAAGTGAAGAACACTGAGTGTCGTTTTCACCTTACTGCATGGACTGTGTTTGTTCATTTATGGACACTTTTTTATATCTAAACATCACAAGTTTTAGTGGTTTTTTTTATGTAATAGCATAATTTTTTCACAACAATCACGTATATTTGATTGAGATTCACTATTTATATGCTTTTATTCTGTTAGGTGTCACATTTATTATTGGTATTATCACATATATATTTATATATATACTAATTAACACAGTTTTTTATATATATACAAAGTTTTTTTCATCACTGTTTATTCGTATTATCATGGATTTTCTATTTTTTTACCAATGTATGATTTAAAGAAATAATTTAGGGGCAAGGAAAATATTTTATTTGGTTTTCTATTGACACATTTTTTATGTCACGGATATATTTTACTTATGAGGTATGGTTTTCATTTAATATTATATGCACTGTGTGCGTATGTAGGGATTCGTTTTAGCGCTTCACTATTTTTGTGTTTGTTACTTTATCACCTATTGGTTAAGGCAGAGTGATAGCAGCTGTTTAGGATAGGGACTCACCCATACCAAGCGCAGGAGGATATTCCCATTCATTAAGTTGACATGAGACTGCCGTCAGATCTGGGGCAAAAGTGATCAAAATGGTTAATGGTCATCTTATGTCTACGTGAAGCTCACCACATGCTCCAATCTCAATCTCCAAAGATAAATGTAATAAGTCAGCGCTAAAACAATAATTATAAATAGAAGGCTCCTAGCAATAGGTAAGCATACAAAAACCCAAGTATAACAGTAATAAAATAACAACAACAAATTAAATAATCAAGTAAATAAATGAAAACATCCATTATAAATCATGTGCATAACGTGAAAGTGAAAATCACACACGTAAAAAAATACATGAACTAAGAAGTCTTTTAGCTCCAGAAATGTCCGTGCACCATGTGCAACTGAGGGTAAGGCGGCACTTACCAGCTCACTAGCTGTTAATGCAGCAAGTCATACTTTAGATATTAACAATCTCAGCTTCCACTCTATGGACATGCAGCTCCAATCATCCACCTGAGGTCTTCTGACCGTAGCAGCAGCAGCCCACCACTAGGGGAGATTTTGAAGGCCATAATGCCACTGGATGGAAAAGAAGCACTCACGCAAGGAGCCAAATACCAAAATGGGCCAGATATAGTGTAGTAATTTAATACTGATGCTTAAGAATAACATATGGTATAAATGATAAAAAAAATATCCAGATGCTAAATAGTAAAAACATATACAATAGTGCACTTACCCAGATGGTCACCACTTCTGTAAAGGGAAGTGGGGGTGTGACATTAGCGCATGGCTCCTCCCTGACGTGTTTCATGCCAACACACTTCTTCAGGGAATCTGCACTTTTGTTATATTTATATGTTACAATCTGATTGTACAGTCTCCTTACCATCTACCAACAACTGTGTAGTGCAAGGGACTGCCTGATTGAATTGAAATTGATTAGATAGTTTATGTAGGTTTTTATATTACATACTTTTGGTTATTCTAAAGAAGAAATTGGGCACTTTTTGTCCCACTAAAAACAGTCAGACAGGAAGTGAGGAAATACTCTGCAACAGGGGACAAAAACAGTAATACAGATCTGATGTGGGTTCTAGCCTTCTGCAACTCTACTGAAGAGAAAACATTTTTATTGCTGTCTGTGTTCTTTTACCCCCTTTACTAGTAAAATGTCAGCAGGACTGAAAGTGAGGGCAAATATTTCTAATACGTCTAGTGCCCTCTAGTGCCTAGATAGTAGTAAAAACCTAGCATTGATTCTACTCCTTTCACACGCTATCCAAAACCAAGAAAACAACCAAGAAAACAATTTTGTCTGGTTATACACTTTAAAAGCACAGTTATCCTTTTGTGAAAAAAAGTAGTAAATGCAGCAATACAGATCTTATGATTAATTAGCATTTACTACTTTTGAAGCCTGCAGCATTGTACCAATGATCAGTGCATTGTGGGTATGGTGTGCAGGCTGTTGAGGTGTTTGTCCCCAGTCCCAGGTCCATGTGGCTTTACAGACTGATATGGGGCTAGAAGTAGTGTAGTTTGACTCAGAGGCAGAGCTTGAAGCTTGTGGGCCCTGATGCAAATGTTGACCTGGGCCCCCCCCCCCCCCCCTCCACTACCTTTCACCGTGCGCCAAGATGCTCCCACCACGCACCAAGATATGATAGCTGTAGGGTGGCTGTCTCTCTCTTTTCTCTCTCCTGCTGCCGTCTGCACGTTCACACAAGGTGGGGGCAGGCAGGCCACACTATGAGCTGTCGGGTGACAGCAGTAGGTTTGTATGTAAAAGAGGAAACTCAGCAGGCCCTCTGACTTCTATATCCACATACAAGCCCACTGCTTTCACCCAGCAGTTCTCAGTGTATCCTGCCTGGCCCTAACTTGTGCGCATGTTCAGGGCTGAGCAGGGGGGAGGGGGGTACTGTACTGGGCTGGGTGGGGGCTGATCAGAGAGTGTCACTACCACTACAGATATCACACCTTTGTTTTGTTTTTAAACATCTTTTACACCTTATTAAACAGCATCCAGTTACCTCTCTCATGGCCAGGCTGCAGTGATATGGAGGTGCAGGATATTAGGAAAACCCCCCCTTCCTAGCAATGACACATGCCCTCGTGCCTCCTCTTGGTATTGACAGATGACTCCTCCTTCAAGAGCCCCACTTCAAATAATCATAGATGACCCCCTCCTCCTTTAAAGACAGATGACTTCCCTCTTGGTAATGACACGTGACCCCCTCCCCCCCACCAGGTAATGACAGATGAACCCCCCCCCCTCTCTGCACCAGGTAATGACAGATTGAAACCCCCCCTCTCTGCACCAGGTAATGACAGATGACCCCCATCTTCAGGTGACCTCCTCCTGGTAACAAAAACATGGCCTCCCCAGAGAATTACTGGTTTCCCCACTCCCACTGTCCTGGTAATGTCATTATATCCTCCCCCAATGCTGACAATGACAGATTCCCCATCCAGCTCCCCCTCTGCTCATCCTGCTCAAACCTTCACAGTAACATCTGCAGCCTCTGAATCCCGCAGTCCCTTGGGGGCCCCTCAGGAAGTGTTATGGAATTTTGTGAGAATTTTTGTGTGCGTATCAGCAGGAGTTGTGGGGAGGGGTGGGGCGGTGTGTCTGTTCTCTGCATGGATCCAACCGGTATCTTTTTACCTCCCCAATCACAGCAGTACCAGCTCCTGGAAGGTGCTCTCCTCCTTCCCACAGCCTGGTGAGAGCTCGGCGTCCATCCTCGCCTGGTTGTCAGAGCTGACACTTTCCCTCACCCTGTCCTTCCTCCACTACTTTCTGGCTCAGGACTTGAAAATGGAACCAAAAGCTCAGAGGTCAGAGTTTCTGCTTTTCTCTGGATTCCGCTTTCCCTGTCATAGTGACAGGGAGACAGAACAGGCCCCCCCCGAAGCATGAGCGGGGTCACAATCGTGACCCTTAATAACCCTGATGCTACGCCCATGGTTGAACTCCAGTTGTGGTGATGGCACCACCCTGCTCCTTCTGCTGTGGTGGCAGATGGGACTGGTATATTTTCCATTGATGGATCCTGGACCTTGACATGGCTGTGTGGGCAAAGCCATGCACAGTCACACTAAATTAAATAAAATAAATATCAACAAGCTACAGACAAAAGCAACCAGCATTTCATGGTAAGGAGGGGGGCAGAATGTTATCATGCTTCATGTTACACCCTAAATATGGTTGTAACATGAAACATGGAAAATGTAACAAGAGGCTGAAAAATTGGTGCAGAAAAGAGGGGCTTGAAAAGAACTATCTGACTTCTCAGTTAACGGCTCTGTAGTAGGGACGGACTGCACCTTATTGGGGAGGGTACAGCTCTGTTGGGGGAGAGGATGGCCAAAAAGTTGGAGGGGCTGTTAAACTAGGTGCTGGGAGAGGGATCAGATGAAGCAATAGCCAGCAGTAAGCGAAGGTCGGAGGGTGCTAATGGAGCCATTAGTAGTAGTATAACCATAATACCTAAATGCTGGGTGAGTGGGTTGGAAAAAAAAATTACAGCCATAGAACAACAAGAATGATTCGCCAGTGAACACAAGGGATGACATTGCAAATGGGCAAGGGGGGAGGTGGAGTCCCTTTGGGTAGAGCTTCAAACAGAAGAAACAAGTGGGAAAATAATAGTGGGGGTATACTATAGGCTCATAATTTCTTAAATGTCTTACGAGACAACTTGATGGATGCCCCAACTAGAAATAATGCATTACTAGATCTAGTAATTAACAAATGCCACAAATCTGGTTGCAGATGTAGAAATATGGGACAACTTGGGAACCAGTGATCACAAGATAATTACATTCAGCATAAATCATAGCAAAAGAAGGCACAAGGGTAGTACAAGAACACTAAATTTCAAAAGAACCAACTTTTCTAAATGACGCTCAGTACTACAAGGTATCAAATGGGACCAAATCCAAAAAGCATTGAACACTAAGCAAAAATGGAAATACTTTGGGAACATACTAAATAAAGGTATTATCCTGTGTATTCCAATGGGCAATAAACATAAGGGCAAAGGTTAAACCTGGGTGGCGGATCACCGATCAACGGAAAGAGCCGAAGATGTCGGCTTGGTCATGTGATCAGCTGTGTACAATCACAGCTGATCACATGTAAATAGGGAAATGCCGGTTATCAGCATTTCTCTCCTCACGAGCTGTCACGCTGACAGCTCGAGAGGAGAGGAGAGCCGGTAATCAGCATTCCTCAGAGGGGACATGTGCACTGATCATCAGGGCACTGATGATCAGTGTGCCCTGATGATTTGTGTAGCCCCAGCAGTGCCACCTGTCAGTGTCCATCAGTGCCAGCTGTCAGTGCTCATCAGTGCCACCTGCCAGTGCCCATCAGTGCCTACCAGTGCACATCAATGCCACATATCAGTGCCCATCTGAGCTGCCTTTCAGTGTCAACCATCAGTGCCAGTCAGTGCCACCTATCAATGCCAGTCAGTGCCACCTATCAGTGCTGCCAGTCAGTGCTACCTATCAGTGCCAGTCAGTGCCGCCTATCTGTGCAAGTCAGTGCTGCCTATCAGTGTGTATCAGTGCCTCCTATCAGTGCCCGTCAGTGCTGCCTATCAGTGCCGCCTAACAGTGCCAGTCAGTGCCACCTCACAGTGCCAGTCAGTGCCGCCTATCAGTGCCAGTCGGTGCTGCCTATCAGTGCCGCTTAACAGTGCCAGTCAGTGCCACCTAACAGTGCCAGCCAGTGCCACCTATCAGTGCCAGTCAGTGCTGCCTATCAGTGCCGCCTATCAGTGCCAGTCAGTGCCGCCTATCAGTGCCGCCTATCAATGCCATATATGAGTTCTGCCTTTCAGTGCCCATCAGTGATGCCTGTCAATGCCCATCAGTGCCACCTACCAGTGCCTCTTCATCAGTGCCCATCAGTGCCACCTATCAGTGTCCATCAGTGCAGCCTATCAGTGCCCATCACTGCAGCCTCATTAGCGCACATCAGTGAAGGAGAAAAAATCACTTATTTACAACATTTTATAACAAAAACTAAGAAAAAATTTTTGTTTTCAAAATTTTCAGCGGTTTTTGGTTTGTTTAAGAAAAAATAAAAATCCCAGAGGTGATTAAATACCACCAAAATAAAGCTCTATCTTTCTCAAAAAAATTATACAAATTTCATATGGGTACAGTGTTGCATGACTGCGCAATTGTCATTCAAAGTGTGACAGCGCTGAAAGCTGGAAATTGGCCTGGGCTGGAAGGGGGTATAAGTGACCTGTAGGCTAGTGGCTAAACAATATAAAAAAAAAAGGTCTCATCTCACTGATTCTTGTCTCAGGACATTTTCTACCCCATGGGCCTCAGTCTGGCCCACTAAAGTCTGAAGGACAGTAAACTGGCTCTTTCTTTGAAATTATTGGGGACCCCAGGTCTGAAACCTGAAGTTGGCCTTTGAAGTGTATGTAAACTCTAACAATAAATGTCTCCTATTTGTTCTGGTTTGGTATGCTAAGTATATCATTGAAAGGGAAAAAATATTTTTGATTTTGACAGAAATCTTTTCAGCTCATAATATCCTGAGCTTTCTGCCTGATATGGAGGTGAGAATGAGTGAGGAAATGAGGAGAGGTCTGTAGCCGTCCCTTTCATCAAGTTCCTCTATGCCTTGGAATCTGCAAGGCCTTTCCAGAAAGTTCCAGATATGGGAGGATTCAAAGATCAAGAACTGTTGTCTCATAGCTCCTTCATCTATAATACAATATTGTGAGGCAAAAAAACCTTGCACATAGCTCCGACTTGTAGTTCTCCTTTGTACTGGCCAGCTACCCCTGCACCATAGAGCCCATTAGCAGATCAGATATAGGCAAAATGCTAACTTAGAGAAACAAGAGAAGACTCAGTCCCACAAAGTGGTTTATGATATACATATTTTACTGAACATTAAACATGACAGCTCCATCTCACAACACTTTAACAAGGCAACAAAGTACAATCTTTTGCACTGCAGAACATTGCCATTCTCCTAATATGGCACCAGAAATGGGTTTCCCATGATAGGGAATTTTACTTGTATTTTCCACACCAGGCTTCACAGCGCATTTACCTTCAATAGAAGGAAGGCTGTGGTACCCACATCTGGCCATTGTATCTAAATTCATACCTCGACTGCAATCTGTCTTTGTGCTTAACTCCTTTTTTCCCTACTGGGAGGGGGCTTCCTCTGGCTTTCCTCCAGAGAGGAAAGTGGTAGTAGGCACAGTCCTCTACAATAACCTTGTGTAAGGTCACCAATTTCAGTTGCAAGGCTAGGTTCAAATCTATGCAAGCTTAAGTACATTTGCAGAAACACACTACAATCCCTTGAACATTTTTTCTTATGGGTCCCATTCACATCTTTGCAGTTTCCTTTTTTTGTTTTGGAAAGGTGCAAGGACTATCCAGAATGGTGTATTTTTGGCTTCATAGACTTCAGTGGAGCTGCATTAAAAAAAATGCTTATGCATATATTTTGATTCGTTTTTGTATGGTCTTGTTTTTAACAACCAATCTCCTCCTACAAAAAAAAGCAGGAAGCATAAAAATGCATAAATAATGTGCTGCAAAAATGCATCAACTGCACAAGCATAGATGTGAATCTAGTCAAAAAGAGATTTGACTCTGCTTGCTATTTCTTCCATCCTACATCCCCTACCTGCATTCTTGAGCCTTATACATCTCTATAATTGGTGGGCAGAAAAGCTCCCTAGTATCCATGGACAGGCCTTAAACCCTGAAGAAACCTGCACTTCATTACAGGTCTGTATTCTCTGTAATTTTTCAGAAATGAAATAGCCAAGGCTGACAAGTGCAGGAAGAGATTTATTGTAATGTCAAGAAGGTAGAAACATACTATATTTCTGACACATCAACAGTTATTTTTCTATACTTGCAGCATGCTTAAAGGGATAAGACACTGGGAAATGTGCATGTACTTAAAGCGGAGTTCCACCTGAAAAAAAAAATAATAAAAGTCAGCCGCTACAAAAACTGTAGCTGCTGACTTTTAAAATACAGACACTTACCTGTCCCTCGGTCCAGCGGTGTCCTCACCACCACTGGTTTCACTTCTTCTCTGCCTGGCGCCGGCATCTTCAGTGTGGGCACCCGGCTGTGACGGCTTGCAGTTTCACAGCCAGGTGCCCACTGCTCATGCCCAAGAAGCGTTGCCCTTTGTGAATGGCCCCGTAGTCTTCTGGGACCTGTCCCGTGTCCCACAAGACTACGGGGAGAAAGGGGGGAGGACAACTTCTGCGTCTGATTGCCTTAGGCTATCGCAGCGGAAGTGGGAGCTGGTACCTGTCAAATTTGGGTACCTGCTCCCCAAAGGTGCCCATCCTTAATGGGGAGCGGGGGACAAAGACTTAAAGCGGAACTTCCCCTTTTGGGTTGAGCTCCGCTTTAAAAAATTTACTAAATATTTTTTCTTATTTTATCTTGATATATACTTTAGTCTTTTTTCTTAAAGTGGGCAAAATAAAAAATGATGAATAACAGATGGGGACAGCACCTCTGGACCAATAACACACAAAAGAAAAAAAAAATATACTATATAATTATAAAACAAAAGATATATCAAGAAGAATCGCTATCTTGCCCCTATGAACAGGGTAGTAGGTAACAAAAAACAAAAAAAAGAACAGCGCTCTTCAAATTAATATATCTCCAACCAGGTGAACACAAGAATTATATATTGTGAATGACTATTATGCCAGATAATATAAATTAATGTGTCACATAAATTAACCACTTCAAGTCCGGACACTTGTACCCCCTTCCTGTCCAGACCAATTTTCAGCTTTTTCACTTTCAGCTTTCACCGCTGTCACACTTTGAATGACAATTGCGCGGTCATGCATCATTGTGCACATATGAATTTTTATAGCATTTTTTTGAGACAGATAAAACTTTATTTTGATGGTATTTATTCATCATATTTATTTATTTTGCTATATAAATGAAAAAGTCCAAAAATTTTGAAAAAAAGTGTTTTTCTTATAAAAGTTTGCAAATAGTCTTTCTTCATAAAACTTGGCCAAAATTTATTCAGTTATCTTTTTAGTGAAAAAAAAAAAAAATAACCCAAATTAGTGTTTATATTATTTGTTTTTTTTTTTGGTTTTTTTAAACACACTGTCACCCTAGCAGTATAGTGTCACCATAGTGACACTGTACTACTTGTGGGGGGTGATGAAGATTTATTTATTTATTTATTTTTACACCCATAAAGGCTATAAAAGCAATCATTTCTCCTTCTCTCTGGCTGCATTTTTGCAGCCATTGAGAAATACTGTGTGAGCTGTGATTGTCACAGCTTGTCACATGGTACAAGGCAGTTGTGAATAGCCTTGTACTATGTGATCTCTGTGATCATTCACAGATTTCACACGTAGTAAGCAATCATGTTGGAAGTGACATCTTGCTTACTACTACTCATGTGATCACTGATTGGCCAATCAGTGATCACATGATCGGGACTTCACACAGAGGTTCCGTACAGCAGGCACCGGATCACGGTGCTGCACGCTCCCAGGAAGCGTGCACAGTCCAAAATGGCAGGCGCCATTTATGAACGGCAACCCGCTTCTGCACTGCTTCCGTCCTGCCGTTAATATACATGGGCCGGATGGGAAGTGGTTAATAAAAATTCAATAAAAAATATGAATAAGTGTCCATAACTTATGTAAATAAATAAAAAGTGAAAATATTTGTGTCCATAAAACAATACTTTTTCTTTAAACTTCTCTTCTAATGTGAATCAAAAAAACGTAAAAAATCCACCACCACATGAATTGGATCCATTCACCGGAGCTCCATGCTGGTAAGATTATAAACCAGCTATAACCACTTATGCTCTGGGAGTAACGATCTGCAGCAGCACACCCCAGCTGATAGAAATTTCTTCAAATAGCACTTGGCTCCTCATATAGTCAGAGTGGGACATGAAGGAAGAAAAAAAGAGGAATCCACATAGTGTAAAACCATCCAGGCTTTATTCAATTCAAAAACGTGTTCAAACCACTCACATTAGTCAGTGTCAGAGCCAACACTCGCATTACAAGCATAAGGCATCAATATGATAGGTATTGCTCAGTATAAACAGACAATGGCAGCTCACCCATACGTGGTGATGTCACCTCCAAATCCCCGACCTACGCGTTTCGTCATCCAACATCCTAAGGAGTGGAAGGACGTGCGACACCACTGGCTAACATTTTATACCCTGCACAATTACTTATGCAGCGCCAAAAATGACTTATAATGACTAGCAATCTACAACCTTGACCAATCCATAATACATTGATGTACTACATCCTGGCAAGCAAAAATACTGACCATATAAATCATTAACTATAAAAGAAGTAATTGTATTTTTAAAAGGCCAGTACAAGTTAAAGGGCAACTCTAATCCCAGTAACATGAATCATAAAAAAGGGAATTAAAAAGAAATGGTACAATGCCCCACCCAGTAAAGTATATTACCAATTCAACCTC